AAGGTTAAGGATGGACTAGTTCTAAGTGTCGTTTGGAGTTGAAGAGACACTTAGAGTAGTTTAGGACTTTGTTTTTCCTTTGGCCATACTATTAAGGGGGGTATGGACGGGTAGCTTGACCTAGATGAGTCTAGTGGGTTAGGTGTGGTGCACACTTGCTAAAACTAGCACTAGGTAGCTCCAAAATAGTCCTTAGATCCAATGGAGCAAACTTCATTCATAGATGATCGAGAGTTGGAAGTGAATGGAGGGTCAAATGCTGACCGGATGCTGGTTCCGGGTTGACCAGACGCTGGCGCATTGTCCGGTCAGTTCATTTGATCAAAGTGATATCGTCTGGCGCTACCGGATGCTGAGAGGTGAAGTGACCGGACGCTGAGAGCCTACGTCCGGTCGACTCCAGTAAGGTTCCAGAGAGGGAAAATCATGACCGGACGCGTCCGGTCAGTGCTGACCAGATGTTGGCCAGCATCCGGTCACACTTTAAACACTGGAGTTTGGGGTGAACTGACCGGAGCGTCCAGTCACCCCGCAGAGGCACATAACGGTTTGTTTTTTAGCTGGTGTTATAAATACCACCTACATTCATGTGTGGGGGTACTTTTACTTATTCCAATAGCTAAGAAACACCTTTGAGAGTGCTAAGAAGAGCAAGGTCCTAGTGAGGTGATTGAGATTTGAGAATCCTAAAGAGAGCCCTCATTAGTGAGATCAAGAGTAGCAAAGTGTGCATCCACCTTTCTCATTAGGCTTGTCGTGGTCAAGTGAGAGTTCGTGCTTGTTGCTCTTGGTGATCACCATCACCTAGACGGCTTGGTGGTGATTGGGAGCTTGGTGATCATCCGACGGAGCTTGTGGATGACCCAACTCAAGTTGTGAGCGGTTGTGGGTGATTCACCGCGATGGAGTGTCAAAGAAGCAACCTGTAGAGAGCACTTGATCCTTGCGCGGATCAAGGGGGAGCTACACCCTTGCGCGGGTGCTCCAACGAGGACTAGTGGGAAGTGGTGACTCTCCGATAGCTCGGTAAAACATCGCTGCTTTCCTCCTTCTCTCTTTACTTTGAGCAATTCAATTCTTGTCATTTACATTCATAGAATTGCCATACTAGAGTAGGATTGGAACTTAGGTTGCAAGACTCTTTGTGCGATAGATCAATAGAAACACTTTCTAGGCACAAGGGGTTAATTGGGCTAACCGTAGGGTTTAATTATTGCAAAGAAATTTAGAATTAGCCCAATTCACCCCCCTCTTGGGCATCTTGATCCTTTCAATAGGTTCCATAAGTAACAACAATTCTTGATATCACGCAACAAGTATTTTGGTAAAATTATGCAAACCAAATTGTTCTCTTTAGTTTGCTTTATGCTGCATATGATCAGTCTATAAAACCAATTAAGGCATTCCTTCTATTGGTGCGGAAACTGCTAATATGTTTGCCATCTCCCAGGGAAAATGGGGTTTTATAGTACATTAGGTTCCATAAGTAACAACAATTCTTGATATCATGCAACAAGTATTTCGATAAAAATATGCAAACCAAATTGTTACTCATGCAAAAAAAATGTTTGCTGGAGAGTAGGAAGAGTTCACATAATGTGTGTTCATATGAGCATGCGTCAATGATCTACTATGAACCTTTTGTTCACAAATTTGGAGTGATATCTAGTACCACTGCTGCAACGTTTCCTGTCCAAAGTTCATGAACTGATGGATAGTGGCAGGCGGATGGGATGTCTTCTCTTTGTGCTTACAGAAGAGAAGTGTTCCACTTCTTCTGAATCCACTAAAGCATTTGTGCATCTAAATATTGGTGTTCATGTACCACAATATCACCTGTGGGAATGCAAATGTAACAAAAATCAAGCATCGCTACTCCGTCTCTCCGGTCAAACCCGTCACGGCGTCACCACTTCTTTTCATCATATTGATGTTTGCTTCATTCCCTCCTTATTAGCCTCTCTCATAGCCATAGATGTCCAGTCATGACCCTTCTAAATATACTTAACAGGTACTTGATAGTCTTGATGCTCCTACATGCCTCAACATTGATGTGGTAGTTGAACAAACATAGGAGATATGAGTTGTATGGCATGACCCATCTATTGCCAAGCTCTTGTTTGCGAACCTTTTCTTTTTGCCAATCTTTATGCTATCTTTAAACTAAGTATGAATCCTTTCCATGTATTATGACCTCGCTGAAAGGTTGCGAGTAACGATTCTTGCATGAATCACGACCCTTTGTGCACGGGCAATTGTGATTAAGAGCTTCACATGGTCCATGCATCATATGCTTGGTAACCATTTTGTACAAGTCTGGGTACTTCTTTGTCAAGTGTCTTTTCTCATGAAGGCTGACATAATGGTTGATATTACTTGGGATGACACTAGTGAGTGTGTTTTGGCCTACGTGAAGGCGTCCCCCATGAAAGGATCAAGATGCCCAAGAGGGGGGGGGGTGAATTGGGCTAATTCTAAATTTCTTTGTAATAATTAAACCCTACGGTTAGCCCACTTCACCCCTTGTGCCTAGAAAGTGTTTCTAATGTTCTACCGCATAAAAAGTCTTGCAACATAAGTTCCAATCCTACTCTAGAATGTCAATTCTATGAATGTAAATACAAGAATTAAATTGCTCAAAGTAAATGCTCAAAGTAAAGAGAGAAGGAGGAACACGGCGATGTTTTACCGAGGTATCGGAGAGTCGCCACTCCCCACTAGTCCTCGTTGGAGCATCCACGCAAGGGTGTAGCTCCCCCTTGATCCGCGCAAGGATTAAGTGCTCTCTATGGGTTGATTCTTTGACACTCTGTTGCGGTGAATCACCCACAACCGCTCATAACTTGAGTTGGGTCATCAACAAGCTCCGCCGGATGATCACCAGGCTCCCAATCACCACCAAGCCATCTAGGTGATGGCGATCACCAAGAGTAACAAGCACAAACTCTCACTTGACCACGACAAGCCTAATGAGAAGGGTGGATGCACACTTTGCTACTCTTGCTTTCACTAATGAGGTCTCTCTCTTGAATTCTCAAATCTCAATCATCTCACTAGGACCTTGCTCTTCTTGGCACTCTCAAGGGTGTTTCTTATCTGTTGGAATGAGCAAAAGTGATCCCTTGAGTGAATAGAGGAAGTATTTATAACCCCTCATTCAAAACGAACCGTTATGTGCCTCTGCGGGCTGACCGGACGCTCCGGTCAGTTCTCCCCGTCATCCAGTGATTAAGTTGTGACCGGACGCGTCCGGTCATGATTTTCCTCTCTCTGGAACCTTACTGGAGTCGACCGGACGCTGGGACCCAGTGTCCGGTCACTCACCTCTCAGCATCCGGTCGCACCAGACGACTTCACCTTTATCAAATGAATTGACTGGACTCTGCGCCAGCGTCCGGTCACACCGGAACCAGCGTCCGGTCAGCATTTGACCCTCCATTCACTTCCAACTCGCAATCATATGTGAATGAAGTTTGCTCTAATTAATCTAAGAGCTATTTTGGAGCTACCTAGTGCTAGTTTTGATAAGTGTGCACCACACCTAACCCACTAGACTCACCTAGGTCAAGCTACCCGTCCATACCCCCCTTAGTAGTACGGCCAAAGGAAAAACAAAGTCCTAAACTACTCTAAGTGTCTCCTCAACACCAAACGACACTTAGAACTAGTCCATCCTTAACCTTGTCGTCCATCCTTTGAAAACCGAAATGATTTCCGTCGTAGGGTCATGACAACCATGATTGCCCAATCAATTTCCATTATTGTGACCTAACTTAATTGCCTCTGCAAAACACACGTTAGTCATAGTAATCACGCATTGTCATTAATCACCGAAACCCAACTAGGGGCCTAGATGCTTTCACCCCAGAACTGCGATTAACTCTGATGGAGCCAGAACTACACGAGTGAACAGTAGATGTTGTGATATGCATGACAGTTGTGTTGGATAGAATGTACTCATGATCATGTTGAATACTTTCCCTCAATACCAATTGCAAAATTTAAAATGTGTTTAAGCACAATGCCCGTACCTAGTGATTCTTGATGGGTGTTCCTTAGTGCATGCTCATACAACTTGGTCCTACAATTTAGCTGCACTAGTGGAGTTTGTGGATGGCGACTCTAGGGATCCTGCGACCATTGAGTTGGTGTCGTGTTGGTCAAGAGGATGACGCGTGGTACCAACTAGACGGCTAAGGTGGAATCCACGCATAGGGGATGACATAGTAGCCCAGGTAGACATTGGTGGTGGAGGCCTTGCGGTAGGTGCCTAGGACTCCCTACTGCCGTGCACAGATGCGACTAATGCATGAGTGTCGGGGACATTCGTTGATGCTGAGCAGGTGGGGGATGTTTGGCACGGGCACTAGATCAACTTGGCTAGCATTGGCGCCACCTCTAAGGAGGCAACAGGCGACAACTATCTCACCTTGTGCTGGCTCCACGGACTCGCGTTCCTCTCCAAAGCAGGGAAGGACCACCATCATTGAGCCCACAACACTGGGTTAGGGCATTAGGCAAGTTGGACGGAGGATGGGAAGAAAGGGGATTGCATGCAATACCGAAATACAATTAACTGTATGTGAGGTCAACATAATCAAATATGTATGAAGTACATGGCTTGGTTATATAGCAAATTGCAATGACAAGTTTACAAATAGACGAATAGTGTAATGGCGTCATGACATTTATACTGGCATGATTCCAACTAACCCATTACCTTTTGGGATTATCAACATTTTAACCAATGATAGTGCGTATCAGCCTATGGCATAAGACAACACAACACAATTGATAAAATCTTGTACGGATCACCCCAAATAATCAAATATGTATATTTTTTACATAATAGGAGGGGTTGCTTCATGGATAGATATATTAATAAAAGGAGATATTACAACTGGAAAAAGAGAAGCAAAAATATTACAGATTTCAACAATACATTTAGAGAAACATGATAGTATAAGGTAGTGGTGATTATATGAACTAACACCACTTAATTATTGAGTAAAAATATATTTATCTTTGATAGCATGCATCTCTGCAGCAGCATCTTTCATTGACAATCGCTCCGTGGCCAATTGCTTTGAACAAAGGACACCAAGCTGAATGACAGCTGCCAAACATTCCCTAGTTCTTGTTATATGTCTTGTATCATTGCTATTGTTTACTCCATCATGCATCCAGATGTTGGAATCTGCTATCTCCATAATCTTGTGAGGAAGAGCTGCCTCAGCATAACAATGCAAGCTTATCCCATCTCTAAACATATCATCCGTTGGGCTCTTCCCTGTGAACATCTGGATCAAAGTGATGCCAAGACTAAAGACATCTCCCGAAGTTGACACCGCAAGCCCTTCTCCATATTCTACAGTGGAACGAAATATGAGGATACAAAGGTATATATGTATAAAACTCGAAGACTATTAGCAATTGGATAATCCTATTGGAGCCTCCGCCCTAGTGCTCACAAGACAAGTCATAACTAAAAAAAAAAATCTGAGATGTTCTCATTAAAATAAAAGGCATCAGTCATCAATTCAGTATTCTATAGTTATCAATGGTGATAATATGCATTTGGTATATTGTGCTTTCTAAAAAATTACACACCTCTGCCATTATAAAAACATTCTTAAATGGCATTTTCTATCTTGTATATTCAAATTACCAATATATGACATTGTGAAAACTAACTTAAAATAACCCCTCATCTTCATCTGAATTATCCATTATGCCATCATGAAAAATAACATATAGTAACCATTAAAAATTGCATACAGTTATTGTTTTTTTAAAACTATCTGAAAAGTAACCGTAATGATTTTCCAAGTTATCCACTTATATGGCATAAATGCATGATGTGTGTCACTATGCAGACCATGGGTACATGTTTGAGGGAAGCATTGAATATGACAGTTTCCATGTCCAACGCATAGCAGAAGCTAAGATTCAAACTAAGACAGACATATGAGCAAATGGGAAAGAGCAATTTTGTTGATCTCTAACCCAATTATCCATGAATTTCTGACTTACTTTTTAACAATTACTAACCCACACAGCAGCACATATTAATTAGCTAATAGGGATATATGCTATTATTTGAAGCATGAAACAAAATAACTTGAGATACCTGGAGCAATATATCCAATGGAACCTCTTATTCCTATGGTGCTACTGGAATTCACAGGATGTTTGCTTGTTGCTTCATCTAGAACTGTACCAATGCCAAAATCTCCAACACGAGCTCGCATGTCCTGATTGAGAAGAATGTTACTTGGCTTGAGATCGCAATGGATGATCGATGGCTGGCAACCGTTGTGAAGATAGTCCAAAGCATCCACAATATCCACAGCAATATCCAACCTCTGTGACAGGCTGAGTGCTCCTAGTCCATTTTGGCCTTCTAAATTTGAGTGGATCCATCTATCTAAGCTGCCATTAGCCATGAACTCAAAGACTAGTGCTCTGAAGTCTTGACCCTGGTGGTTGATGCTAGAACAACATGTAATGATCTTTAGAAGGCATCGATGCCTCACTCTTCTTAGTGCCTCACATTCGGCCTAGAAGCTTTTGTAGGACCCTGATTGCTGGACATTAAACACCTTAACGGCGACGACAATGGCTTGATTTTCTAGTGTGCCCTTGTATACTATATCATATCTTCCCTTTCCAAGCACATTTGCTTCAGAAAATCCATATGTTCCTTTCAGTATATCGTTGTACGGAACTATTGGAAGCTCTATCTCTGAAAATTGTGGTGGCAAGTCTTTCTTCGGTACTGTCTTGGACTTCCTGTGGTGAAATCCAGCCCAAACCAGAAAAAGATGAGACTTCCTACTGTTGGGATTGTTATTCTAAGAAACATGGGTATCCCTTTCCTATTCTTTCTTGCAGAAAAGCTTGGACATTTTGGTAGATGGAGCTGTGGTATCCCCCTGCATAACGCATTATTACCAACAATTGATAGTCCAGTCAAATTTTTGAAAACTCCTTTTGTTATTTCCCCTTGCAAGTTGTTGTAGGATAGATCTAGGCGAAGTAGCGATGTTGAATTAGCTAAAAGCTCTGGGATTGTTCCGGATAAATTGTTGTGGCCAAGATACATAAGAGTAGCCAGGTTGCCAGGGATGCTTCCATTCAGTTTGTTGTCCGTCAAATTAAGTACAGTCAAGCCTACCATGTTCTTGAACATAGCAGGTATGCTTCCTTGGAATGAATTGCCATCCATTAAGAGGATTTCCATGACCCTGCAATTGCCAATATTATCAGGTATCTCACCTGACAATTTGTTTCTTGACAGGATTAGCTGTCCGAGATGTACCAAACTACCGACTTCTAATGGAAGTGGTCCCTCTAGCATGTTGTTGGACAGATCGAGAAACATTGAGATCGAGGGTAGCTCCATAATTTCTTTAGGAATCAAACAAGTAAGGTTGCTATTTGCCAGATCTAGGGATAAAAGTTTGCTCAAGTTTCCAATGCTTGGTGGATTTGGCACCTGAAAATTGTTGAAGCCTGAATAAAGTTTAAGTAGACTAGAAAGGTTTCCGATGGAGAATGGTAGTCTTGAGAGGTAGTTTGAATTGAGGCCTAGCCCCTGCAATTGTGTAAGCTTCCCAATGCTTTCAGGTATCACCCCAGTGAGTAAGTTTCTGCCAAAATCAAGCATCTCAAGACCTATCAAATTTCCAATATCTGATGGGATGACACCGGATATGCTATTGTTGGAAATCTGAAGCAACTGGAGATTAGTAGACAGATTAGCCAACGAGTCTGGCAGTTTTCCTGCAAACCTGTTCCATCCAAAGGCTAGTTTCTGTAATCTGGTACAATTCGCCAAAGAACTAATAAATTCCCACTCTTCCTCGTAGTTTGCTTCTAAGATGTTACCAACCAGAGCAAACACTTCAAGATTTTGCAATCTGCCCAATCCGGAAGGAGCAATTCCAATAAAACTATTGAATTCGACAAAAAGACCCTGGAGCCTGGAGAGATTGGTTAGCGACGGTGGAAGAGGTCCAGTAATCGGTTATTTGAAACCGCAAATGTCTGGATGCTCGGAATGCTTTTCACCAGGTCAGTTGGTAGACGGCCATGCAGCTTGTTATTTGCCACAAAAAAGTAATAAACAGATGATAGGTTGAACAGGGAAGGAGGGAGCAAACCAGAGAGATTGTTAGCAGAGAGCTGAAGCCACTTGAGATATGGATTGTTGCCGATGCCTGCAAGGATTGATCCCTCAAGATAGTTGATTGCCAAGGACAACGCGGCCAACCGGGAAAGATTGCCAAGAGACGACGGGATGGTTCCGGTAATGCTGTTGTTGTCCAGCGCTAGAACCGAGAGCGCCGGCATGCTGCCAATCTCAACTGGGATGCTTCCCTGCAGGCCTTTGTTGTCTTGGATGAAAATCTCACGGAGGCTGATGCAGCGGCTGATGTTACTCGGGATGACACCAGTGAGCGTGTTTTGAACCAGGTGAAGGCCTCGGAGCCGCCGGAGGGAGCCGATGCTGGCTGGGATCTCACCCTGAAGGCTGTTGTAGCTCAGGTCGAGTAAGCGCAGGAAGGTGAGGTTGCCGATGGCAGGGGAGATGGTGCCGGCGAGCCCCTGGGAACTGAGGTTCAGGCCTACTACCCTCCACCGGTGCCTCCTGCCGCAGGTGACGCCCTCCCAGCTGCAGTAGCTGGTGCTCTTGTTCCACGAGTCCAGCGCGCCAGAGTGGCCGGACATCTTTGCCTTGAAAGCGAGAAGAGCTCCTTCGTCACCATTATGGCTTGGCTGGCTTGGCGAGGAAGCGGTTGCACTGTTGGTTGCGGTGGCAGAGAGCAGCAAAAGCAGCTGGAGGAGCAGCATCGCTGCTGAAGGATTTGTGTAATGCGCTCATGAAGGACGTCAGAGTTTCATTAATGCATACACAAACAAGGTAAGCATGCAGAGTGCTTGTGCTTTTGGGGAATTTTTTAACTTGCTGGGTGAGCCATTAATTCCATCATGGATTGGTACCGGTGCAAGTCCGGTCAAAAGTATCTGTTAGTGAAATGAAATTCAATTATGGGTCTTCAATTACAGGTTAAATAAGATGGATTGATTGTGCCTAGCTGAATTGGGGACATGGACTGGGTTGCCTAGCTGAACCAATAAGCTCACCTTTAATTGCCCGCGTGCGCCCATAATTCCATCAAGTATCCATGCAAGTCCAGTCAAAAAAAGCTTTGGTTAGCGATGTTCCATTATGAGTCGTCCACCAAGGCTGTGTTTGGTTTGAGTGAGGATTGAACTGGGTTGGAACGGGTTCGACCAAGATGGACATGTGTTTTCTTGAGAAGCTGTCTGGGTTGGGTCTGACCTATGAGGGAATCCCTCACATATGGTTGGAATGCTCCGCTCGATTCGAGTGGACCAGTTCAACCCACATGGACGCCATGTTGCTCCGTCTTGCACACGTCTCGCATGACACTAGTACAGAAATAATTTTTTAAGGCGCCTTCCTTTTTTAATAGAAGCGGTTGTCTTAGCACGTCGTCACTAACCTTCGCGGAGGGCACTGTAGCTATACAACCGTCGCTAGAAATCAATTTTTAGAGGTGGTGCCATTAAGAAATCCGCCGGGCGGTTCCATTAAGAGAACCGCCTCTGAAAATACTAATTTAAGGACGGTTGCTTATTTCAACCGTCCCTGAAAATGAGTGATTTTCAGAGGCAGTTTTCTTAAGACAACCGCCTCTGAAAATCGATTTTTAGAGGCGGTTGACTAAGTCAACCGTCCTTAAAAATAGCTGCAGCACAAATAAATTCATATCTTTTTTAAATGAAGCAGGATGAAGACAAACTTTATATCAAAATTGTAGAGCTCGACGAGATCTAAAACTTTGTAGTTGATAAAAATTTTGTTTGAGATCATTTAAGGTTCCAAATATATAAATTAAGTCTCATATTTTGAATTTCAAAATTTTGAATTTTTCAGATGACCTTGGATGGAGAAATGTTCTATACCAAAATTATAGCGCTCGATGAGATCTAAAACTTTGTAGTTGAAAGTTTTCTCATTTAAGATTGTTTATGAGTCTATAGCGGGAGATGGCGGACCTCCGACGGTTTAGAGCGGATTGGCCGGCTCAGGCGAGCATGGGCTCGGGCAAGTAGCGGGCAGGACGGTCGAGCTGGGTCTCGGGAAGGTGGCAGTGGCCGGCGATGTGCTTGGGTACGGCGGGCCTATAGTGCGGGGTGGGCGGCTCTAGGGGGGCGAGCGGCGGCGCATGCTCGGCTAGACTGTGGTGCGGCTCTAGGGCATCGATGGCGGCACTCGCATGACCTAGAGGTGGGCCTATGTTGCGGCTTTGCGGGGGATGGCTCCGCATGCTGGGCTGGAGAAAGAACATAATGTAGGGAAAAAAGAAAAAAAGAGGATGACAAGCGGGCCCCATTGATGATAGGTGGGCCCCACTAATGGCTATTGCTAACGGTGTGAAAATGTCGTCGATTCCATCCTTCTCGATCCTTCCAACCAAACAAAAAACTAGGTTCAACCCACCCCTTAACCAAACATGAGATGGGTTCATCTCATCCTTAAAGACTAGGTTAGACCCAACTCAATCCACTTGGTCCCCAAACCAAACACATGCCAAGTGTCCAAGTTCATTAATTTGCCGGTTAAAAGTGTTAGTTGGACCACCAACCTTTTTTCCATTATTTTAGACTAGCAAACGTACCCGTGCGTTACAACGGGAGAAAAAACTATCAAATATTTATGAAAAACGACAACCAAAATGATACATATATATTTTATGTTTTACTCTTGTCTTGAAATTTTAAAGCTATAGTTTATTTTATGATGACTATGACATTTATAATATAAGCTAATACTATATCATTTAATTCTATACTCTCCGTGCAGCTTCTTTTGTGGATCTACAAAAATTTGTAATTCCAATCTCCGATTATAGGTGGCAAGAAGTTGGTTGCCGAAATGACTTGTCTGTTCCTTGATGATTATCAAGGGAGACCACTCTTGATTTTCCGTTGTCCTCGTCAAGGATTACAGTAGTACATGCATACAATTTTAAAACACATTTATTATCAGCTAAATCCAATTATAATAAGATTGGTTTAGTTCTTAATCAAAATTGTATCATAACTTTAATTTCATACTATCCATGCATCATCTCTTGTGGATCCACAAAAATGTAATTTTATTCTCTGATTAATGTCCATAACAAGTTAGTTGCTGACGTTTCAAAGATTGGTCTGTCCTCTAATGATTACGATGGCTCTTGATTTTTCATGTACTATCCCTCATCGAGAATTACATTGGTACATGCATACAGTTCGAGACACATTTATCTAGACATATATGGACAACAAACTATTCTAGACTGTAATTCACGATTTGATTAGTCAGATCATCCACTGAATCAAACAATAATAATAGGTAAGTGGTGTAAATCTCTATTTTTTAGAGGACAACAAGGTTCAACTGCTCGTAATATTATTATATCTATTGTTTTTTTTGTAAGGGAGCCTTTCATTATGGAGAAATTAAAATCTACTTAATGAATTAGGCTGTTTGTCTTAGAATTTGACATTCCACGACTTTTCTAAGTTCACGTATAATTCTATCTCAAATTTATAGGGTGAAAAATGGAAAGTGATTTTACAGATCACCATGCTATTATGTGAATAGATTGTTACCTAATGATATTATTCTTAGAAAATATTTAGAGGACAAGGAAGTGCTTGGAAAGAGGCATGGAGGCGGAAAAGGTCAGCGTGGGCGCCTGTAACACCCTGAATTTTCCATCATGATAAAAAACACTAAAAATTTGAATTTTTTAAAACTTTACAACAAATTAAAACATTGACCATTTATTTTCTGCAAAAACCGATTTGAAAATATATTTCTAAAAGCCTTTGCATCAAAATTCACCATATGCATTTGTGCTTGAGATGTTAGTTGGATGCTTGCGTGATTGTTTGAATGCTTGTACATTTGCTTGAAAGCCTGTGTGTTTGCTTTCTGGAATTTATTTACGGCACCAAAAGTATTCACTGAATTTCCAATTCCATGCACAACAAATCCTTTCTTTCGTTTTTCTGGACAATGCATTCTTTTCTTAGGGTTTTATAAAAGCCATCTCATTACATGGTTTATTCCCCTTCCTTTCTCTTCTCAATCACATTTTAAATAATTTCTTTTCTTTGAAATATCTAGAAATACAAAAGTATTTTATTTCTTTTCTTGATTTTATAGGAACTATTGATTACAAAAAGAATAGGAAACTCTCTTCTGTGTACCCCTCCCTCTAGCCGAATGGGCCTAGCCCAGTGCCGTTCCCAGCTCGGCAGAGAGCAGCCCAGCCCAGTGCACGCCGTGTCCGCGCCACGTCGTCGTCTCCCCGCGAAGAAAATATCGGCGACCTCACTGTGCGCAACCGCCTTTCTCCATCGTCGTCTTCCTCATCGATCTTATCCACTCCGCGAATTTCGTCGACACCTTGCCGCGGCCGTACAGAACGAGCACAACGGTTGCCGGAGATATTTCTCCAGGAACCGCCTTAGCTCCGGCTATAAAAGGGGCCGGCGAGCTGGCCGGGGACATCCCGTTCGCTTGACCTTATTTGAAACTATACTTTTTAACTCTCACAATATTTTATTGTAAGCATCGACACGAGCTACAGCGAACAGGTGTCGACGAGAACCGCGAGGAGGCAGCAAGGTGTCGACAAGGCTGCACCTCGGCCCGAGGCCAAGCACCGCAGCCGCTCGTCGCACTGAGCTCCTTCCCTCACCTTTCGGTCTCTCTCCACATGCCCAGCCAGAGTCGATAAGCACAGCCACCGCCGTCGCCGGAGCCGAGCACCTCCAGAGCCGCCGCTCAGCTTCCACCATCACCGGAGCTAGCCCCACCGCCCGGAGCCGCCCTCGCCGAAGCGTCGCGCAGCCTTGCTCCCTCCTCCCCATCCTCTGCTCCGCGCGCGCTCTCTCTCTCTCTCTCTCCCTCCATCCCTCTTACTCTCTCTTCTCTCTGCTTTGTTCCTGCTTTCACCCCTCCTTGCGCCGCCGAGTTCTCTGCCGCCGGCGCCTTGCTTTTCCCTCTCCCCTGCTCTCCCCTTCTCTCTCTCCGCTCTGCTTTCCTCGTTGCTCTGCTTCGCTCTTTCTCGCTCTCTCGGATGGGACGCGGACAGAGGAGGAGCGACCGACGCAGCAGTGGCTCACCCCCTCCCTCAAACTTGTATGAAGCCGGTCTATAAAGACCAGTGGGGGAACGAAGGCAAGTCCACAGATCGGTTCACAGCCTAGGCAGCAGGCCGACTCCCACCAGTATAGGCCCACGCGTCAGTCTAAGCGGAGGAAAACACTGGGCACACACACGGGAAACGTCCACAGGAGATTAAAGGTAAGTCCTTTTAGTTACGGAAAATTTTCCAGAAAATTTCTAAATAAACCAGTCACCCTAGAGCCTATATAAATATTTGAGACTCATTTTCCATTAGCTAAAATTCTAGAAATAATTTCCGAGCACCTTTTCATTCGAGTCATGCCCATAAACTTAGGAAATTTATATCTCCCTCGTCTTAATTCCGAATCCCGTACTTCTTTTAACTAAAATTCTTTTAAAGTAAAACCCTACGTATTTAATTTCTTTTTCCTATTTTTTGGTGCCCATGTAAATTCTAGTTTGAATATTTTTTCTTTCCTATATTTAATCCAATACTGAATATAGTAGTACCCTTCACCGTAGTAGTAGTTAACCCCGTATATTCGCGTATGCGTATGCACCATGACATATACTCGAATATATCTGCCCCTAATCACCTAAAATAATAGGATACCTGTACATACAAGGATATGCCCGA